TCCTTCCAAATGATATTTTATACAATTGTAAAGGAAATTGACACCCTAAAGTGCATGGGTAATGCCACGTCATAAACTTTGTACTGTAGATGGGCGAGCTGGGGTAGGCTCGTGTTCTGAGCAGCAGGCTGCATACCCAGAAACGGGGTCCGTGTTCCCAGGTCTGTTTCTGGCTTTGTGTCACCCAGGGGAAATCAGTCCTTTTGCCAGGGCCTGCATTGCCCGTCTCCAAAGTGTGGGTACACACGTCACTCCCTCCCTTGCTCCATCCCCAGCTGTACCTTGCATTATTGGGTATTCAGGAAATAGATGAGCCGATGTTTATGAAATACTTTGAAACACTAGGTAAAATAATCTTATGTAGGCCTAAATTGTTATCAACTGTATTGTTACCCGTATTGTTACAGTGCACACGCTGTTGCGTATTTGCAAATCACATACAGTAATTACCTGAGTACATACAGTAATTCAAGTACCATCATTAGTACTTGACATTAGTATTTCGTAGCAACTTGCAGGGCAATAACTGGTGCTGGGATTCTTGCCCTTAACGCTTGATTATTTGTTGGGGGCTCAGGATTTGTTAGACACTGTAATTAAGAGAATTTTAAGCCATATCTAATGCGGGCTTCATAATCTCCCCCATCCTCTCTCTGGCAATAGTCCTGTGCTATAAGAAGGTCCCAGAATACTAAAGCTGCCGGAAACAGTGGAGTTTATCTCCTTTAAAGCTTCCATTTTGCAAATGAAGGAACCAAGGCTCAGAAAGATCAAGGGACTTTGCCAAAGCCATGTAGTTAGTTAAAATGTCAGAACTGGAACCAAGTCTCTGAATTTCCTGTTTAATGCTCTTTCCGTTGCCCTGCACTACTTGGGAAAGGTAGAATAGAAAAGAATGGGGTGACCCGGTTGTGAGATTCCTGAAGAGTGACAGAACCCCAGTTTGTTGGGGACCTGGCAGCCTTCGCCAAATGCTCTCTACAAGAGTAATTGAGGTTGACAAGAAAGATGGAGATTGAAACACAGGCCCCCCGGGTTAGAGATATGGAGGTGTGATTAGAAGACTGTGGGCTGGGTTTTGCTAGCAAGCCATGGTGTCACCTTCTGGCATGAAGCTCTACTCCTTGAAGTCCATCTCCTGTCCCTGTGAAGAAAGTAGGTGGGCCCCATTTTCTACCACCCTTACAGCTGGAGTGTAAATGAAGACTGTCGATTCCTGGCACTTAGTTGGTGTTTTCTGTGGAAGACCCTCCAAGGTCAGCTGTTGATGACGAGGAGGCGATTATTTGGGTGCATCCCAGGGGAGGAGTGTGGCAGCCACATCGCCGCCCATGAAACAGTGATTCCTTTCACTGTGTGGAAACACTTGTGGTTGACAGCTATTCTCCAGGTGGTCCATGGGCCAGTCTTCCATCGTGTTAGTATTTTCTTCATATTGCAGGACTATTCCTGGCATGAATTGGTAATGTGCTTGTGATCACTAAGGCAACTTGGACGATGCCAGTTTGATTTTCATTAGCATCAGAGCATCCTCCTATGTTTCCTGGTAAGGAAGTCTTCTTCAGTGGGTCATCAGAGATCACTCTTGCTTTAATAGGCTAAGGTTTAAACAGAAAGACTGATTTTTGGTAGAGAGATCCATATTATTCCTAGGGACATGGAAGAGTTAATTATATAGTAAAACCCTGAAATTCAGTATCGTATTAGGTGTACTAGATTAGAAGGCAGAGGACCACAAAACTCATACTGACTTATCTACCAAGTAGTTTTGGACTATAACAACTCACTTAACATTTCAGGGCCTCACCTTTCTATTCTGTGAAATGACAGAAATTGCTTAAATCAATACTCAAACCCCCTTTAGGCATAAAATTATAGGAACCTAAATGAATTAAAAATTCATAGTACAATTTAGAAGGAAGCTTCCTGGGATGTGGAACTTCTAGAAGATATGATTGCAGTACTTCCGAAACACATAAATTCCAACAAATGACCCGAGTCAGAACCCTCACGTATCAAACTTCAAGGTGTGAAATGAAAGCTTTATTTGTATGCTGTAATCAAACCACCCTTTTCCCAAAGACGACGAGACTATTTTCAGCCATAGGTATTGAATGATGCCATAACAAAACATTGGCCATCACAGGCTAGATCAGTGTTTCTGACACCATGCTGTGGGATAGTGGGCCATCAGAGAGAGGAACTGAGGCACAGACTTGCCGAGAGGGGTGTTTGGTCATAAAATACCACTTAGAAAATGTCTAGTTGGGCTGGGTGGAGGTGGGCAAGGGGGGCGGGAATGGGTGACATCTGTAATAGTGTCAACAATAAAAATTCTACTTGGTGTGACTGAAAATTCACAAAGTTGATGGTCATGTAGCTAATGGGATCCTTCTTGTTTTTTCATTATCTCATTTCACATGCATAGACAGACAGACACACACACACACACAGAAACCCAGCGGGGTAGCTCTTTGATCTGCCATGAACTTGACAGAGAATTTGCCCCTCATGAATTCATGAGTTGGGGCCACACAATGCAATTTTTCATTGCCACGTAGAACTGGCAGAAGGCTTCCCTTATTGCCCAATGCAGCCACCATTAAGGTTCCATTGTGTGTGCGCCTCCAGCCCTGAGGTCTGAGGAGTCAAAGCAGTTTAGGGGGGACATGTCGAGAAACCTCTCTTGTTTCTGCAAAGCCATCTTAATCATGCCTGCCTCTTTTCTTTGGGTTGATTTACATAGCAGTGTGACATTTCATCATTAAGGAAGCAGGTCCCAATCTTCTGTGTCTTTTTCTTGGCTCGTCTGGCAAAGCAATTCTCTATTGCAAGCTATGAAATCCTTAAGGAGGACTTCCTGGCAAGGGAAAAATCCTCAGTCATCCAACAGTCTCTCACTTTTCTATTTTAAATCTTGGCCATGCACATATGGTTGGGCATGTGTGTCTAAAAATTTCTTCCACATTGACTAACTTGAGCTATTTAATAGATCGTGCTGGCCGTGGGCCTCTACAGCAAATCCTGTGATGCTCATCTCCCTCCCTGGAGATGCAGAAGACCGCCTCATGCATTTGCCTTTGTGTTTTCCTTGTAATCTCCCTCTCTGGCCCTGTTAGAGCATGAAAGTCAAACCCTGCGACTCTGCCCATTGTCTTGCAATTAACATTGTCTCTGCTCTCCTACCGCCAGCAGAAAAGAGATCTCCAAATATCGGGGTTAATGTTCCAGCAAGTGTACTTTCCTTAGGGCTTTGCTAGGGATGTTCTAACCCATTTCTAAGGACAGAAGAGTTTGAGGACATGTCTACCCTATGCTCTTGGAGGCCCGATGGTGTACGTGTGTGTGTGAATTTAATGTGTCTCAACCTTAACTTTCTTCCAAAACTTGGAATCTCTTATCTTCAACAGCCCCAAGCACAGACCTGGGTCCTATTAGGTCCCCAGGAATGATGGTTGAAGTGAATCTGAAAACAAAGCCGAGTTCTGGCAACTTGGCTGTTTCTCCCAGGTTGTAAAGAATGGGTCCAAAGGGACAGAGGAGAATGGCGGAGGCATGCACCCAGAGCCAGCCTCCGGCTGTGCCTCCTCCATGCGTGCAGCCCAAACTCCCATGGTTTCTCAGCAATTCAGCAACTCCAAGAAGCTGAGAAAATGATACCCTGTGATCCAAAAGAATGACTACCCTGCCAGAAGGCGAAGGCTCTGCTTCCCAGAGGAGACTGTTCCTGAGAAGACAAAGAGCAATAACAACAACAACAGCACAATAACAACAATAGCATGGGGATGAGCTGTAGATTAATACACAGTGTCTCAGGAGCTTGCAGAGACACCCCCTCTCCCACCTCCCCCAGAATTATATAATATATATATTATATATATATGTATATATAATATATATATATTTTGCATTGTGTGCCTGGACCGTTTGGCAGTGCCTTAAAGCTCGGTGCTGCTGTAAGAGCAGCGAAATTATCCTCCTGCTGGGATGGCCCCAGAAATTTCATTTTTTTGTTGAATGTTAAATATGTCCCCTGAAGTTTATCACAAACAGCGTGAGGAATAAAGCTCAGTGTGGCTGGTATTCCGTACACTTCATCCCCACCAAAATGACAAGCCCTTAAGTAAGAAAAGTCTGAAGGGCTGTGATGGATGGGAATGCTGGGCTTACCTTCTTGGAGGGGTGCCTTGGCAAAGCCCACGGTTTCAAACTTTATATAAAAATGATATTGCTGCGGTAAATGGGAAAAACATGTTGTCATTTTTGGACTCCAGACAAAGGCGAGCGTAAACAGCATTAAAATGGAATCGCTATTTTTAACTTACCTTTCTCTTTCTAGAAATCGCATCACAATCAGATGACACATATTACTGCATGTCTTTTAAGGATGTAGCAACCTCCCAGCTTAATCCACAAAATCATTACTTTCCCAACTGTTAGTCAATGTATAATGTCCGACGCCACCACCCACACTTCAGTTTGATTCTAAGAGCTCAACTTTGCTAGAAATTGTCAATTTGATGTCGTAATGCATTTAACGGCTCTTGCTTTTGTTGGCATCTCCGGGATAAAGATATTTAAGTGGTGTGGCCCCTTGACTCCTTTATCTCATGATGTTTCCCCACCCCTTGGCAGCATTTCCCTTTTTTTTTTTGCATCTTTTGTATTTCTTTTACTTTTTTACTTTCTTAATTCAGATGTTCCACTTCAGGGGGTCAGCACCAAAACCCCTGGAACACAGGGCGTTTACAAGTGTAGAGCACCCGCAGGAAGGACTTGGGGAAACCCTGAGGCTGGGTGCGAGCCTCGCGCCCTCGCGGGCTGCTGGCCGGCTCCTTCCGAAGCAGCGGGAGCTGACGGGGGCACCGGGACTACGGAGTCACCCGGCTTCACACCCGGTCCTCGCGTGGCCCTCACTCTACAAGGCCCGTCCCCTGTTGCCTCTTTACTCCTCGCGACGACGTAGGAGGCAGGAACCGTTCTTTCTGTTTTACCTGCAGGAAATTGAGGCAGAGGGTGGCTGTGGAACCTGACAGGCCGCCGAAGCCAAACTCATGACTGCTGTGCTCTGCCGACCCCGTTTTATCAACGGAAGAGGCTTGTAAGTTCAATGTTAAATGCTAAAATCTACTGCGCTCTGACGCCAAGACCACAGGCCATCTTTCCATCATAGTGCATGCGACTTAAATTTAATTCTCCTTGTTTGCATTGATCCTCTCTGCTCACTTCCCAAGACCATCTCGGGGCCAATATTTTTATTGTTTAACACTTGCCTAGGAGTACAAAGATACACGACGTCCCTAGGCCTAGAAAAGTTCCATCCGTAAAGATACATTGGAATGAAATTCATGATCTTACTTCCAGCTCAGGTGACGGGAAGTAAGGTGAAATCAGGCTGTTCAACACCCTCTCTCCATTGCATGCAAATTCAGGCATGTACAGTGTATGAGGGGTGTAACGATAGAATATGGTGTTGCTAATTTGGGGCTTCTTTTTTGTGGAAGTTAATTTTTTTCCAAATATTAGAGAAAGTGACTAATATTCAGTCTTATAATAAATATTTATTGATCCTAGCTGTACCTCTAGAACTCTGCTAAGCGAGGCAGGGGACGTGGTGATACCTAACTAAGCGTCCCTGCTCTGGGGGATCATAGACTAGTGGGGAGAAAGGATGGAGAACGCAAGCCCACAAAACAAAACAAAACAAAAGTTGAAAGTCATAGGAAAGTAAATATAACAAATTATTACCCCTGAGTGATTTAAACTCAAATTTCTCTGAAACGGAGGGAAAGAGAAAAAGAAGAACCAACGCTTATTATGAAACTACACTATTCCAGATGCTGTCTTAAAGTGTTTTTGATGTAATTATTGCAATAGATTTATAAGGAAGATGTGATTAACAGAGAATTTAACTGATCCCAAAGCATGGCCAGCCTGCCAGAGGGTCAGCAGTCTGTCTTCCCCCTGACTTCTCGCCATGGTTCACCTAAGTATTTGGTGGTAGATTTAGGTTTTTAAAGCTAAACCTCAGGCTAGAGTGGTCAGGAAGGCTTCGTGGAGGAAGTGGGCTTGAGCTGGTCCAGACTGAGAGCAGATGGGCAGGGAGAAGTTAAGGTGACTCCTGGCAGGACTCAGCAGGAATCATGTGATGGAGAAAAGACTCAGAACACACACTGAGCCAGAGAAGACTTAAGAGTAATAGGACATTTATTTAGGGGAAGGGCTGGAGATAATGTTAGAAGGAGGCATGAAGCTAGGTTTGCATCAGTATTAACTAATTATGGTGAAGGGAGCCCCCATACACACACAATCACTAATCTGCCAATCACACTGCTACACTCAATCTGGAACGTAGCACCAATAATATTTTACTTTACATTAGATTTATTTAAAAATTTTCATAACAAGATATATAGGTTACATAGAAAACCATCTCTTCTCTTTCCTGTTATCGTTTATTCAATTGCTCTTTGGTGAAAATAATCTGTGTCCACCTCGATGCTGGCCTTATTCTCTCACCATTCCAGTCTTCACTTGATTTACCTGCATAGGTCAAGTAAAGGGATCCCTGTGGATCCAGAAGTGGGGGCTGAATTCTGCTGGGGGTTCCAAGGGCACAGTCTTCTCTCTGGGACATGCGTAACTTTCTGAAAGCCTCCTTTGCCTGACTTGATAATGTCACATTTGAAAATATTCAGGTTGCTTTTGTTGTTCTCTCCATAAAAAAGCAATGATCGTGAAAGTATTATCATGTTTACTCTAAAGCAGCTCTTTTCTACATTTTAATTAAAAGTTGTAATTCACCATCTTTTCACCAAGTTATCTTAAATCTTCCTCTTATTTGTAATGGGTATTGGGCAGATTCAGAGAGAAATACAAGCGTTACTTAATATGAACAGTAAAACCTCGGCATTTGTAGAGACACGGTTCTGCTCATTTCATGGGCTGTGCTAACTCTGCCTTTTTAATTAGAAATATCCTCCTGCTTATGCGAGGACCCTGGGAAGGGGCATTGTCTTACCCAATATGTATTCCACGAGAGTCGCAAGTGGACAAAACCAGGCGAATACGGTGACTGTTGTGTTATTAAAGCACTTTAATAAGGTCACTACCTCAGTAGAGTGAGCTCCTCAAAAACCCATTTCCTTTTCAAGAGGTGAGCTGCATGGGAGGATGCTGGGCACGCCTCGGGGTATACGCAAGGCCCCCTTTTTATATGTACTTTACAGAGCTCTATGGGTGCACCCCCAGGATCAGCTCCTCTTCCTTTTTAGTCCCCTGTCCTACCTTAGGGACTGATGTCCTAGAAAGCCTTAGCATTTCTATTTTGGTCCTGTAGCATAGTAAGAGGAAATAGGGTAAAATACTGACATGTGGGGGGAAGGTCTGTAAACAAAGCTTCACTCCACGTGGGGCATCCCACGCAATGCTGTCCTGCTGAATTGTCCCCCACGGCCTTCCACCCCAGCCAACTAAAAAGCGCGTCGGTTACGAATTCAATCTAATGGTTCTCATTGAAAATAAAATCTTTAGTGGTACTAAAAATGTCTTTTAAGAAAGAAAATGGAAGTAGTGAAGTAGGGTGGGAGGCAGGAAAGGAGAGAGAGAAGAAAGGGAGGGAGGGTGAAAGGCGGGGGGTGAGGAAGGAAGGGAGGGAGGAAGGAAGGAGAAAAGGAAGATTTTTTTTTTTTAAAAAAGGGGCCACCCAATTGCAGCAGAGCAAAGACTTATCTATATGCATTACTTTGATTTCAAATTATTTTTAGCACGGCTTTTATTGTACTCATTGTTACATACATAAATCTTTAAAGTAATACGTTTTGTAAGAAATGGTCATAAAAATTTACAGCCAGTAACTTTTCCCCTGTCCCTTACAATGATATTCTACTAAAACCATTAAATGGTTCTCATTAATGCCCTTTAAATGATTGTGTAATGACCCACAATCGCTTGTAAGTGAACAACCATTAAAGAATTACCAGTTCTTAGCATGCTTTTAAGTACAGCTTAAATACATGGGAGGTAACATATAATATATTAGAAAAAGTATTAAATTGGAAATGGTAAAAACCCGATCATCGCAAGAGAATCATCAGGTGTGCAGCTCTGCCCTGCAACACCACGCTTCCCGCTGAGCCGCTGTTATAGGAGGTTTTACGGCATTTGTTCTTTTTCCCTATTGAATCTTTTCCTTTTTTTCCCTGGGATTAAAAATAATAATAATAATAATAAAACCCTGCCACAACAGGAGAGAAAGTGCATATAAAAGCCAATCGGAGAAATAATTAAAGCCGTGTGTAACAGACAGCAACCTATCTGAACAAAAAGTGAGCAGTCCCATCCGAGGTATTTTCTACAGGAGGGGCGGATATTCATTTTTTTCCTGAACCATACAGACATTAGGTACAGGACAGTCTGAGCACTCAGGCGATTGCATCTTTTACGCTTCGAAGTAAAGATGGTAAAACAGAATAACTCTTCCTGAAGGAGGGAGGGCAGGCGAATCCCCTGCAATTCCTGGCATGTTCTATCGGAAGCTAAGCCACCCCTGTCGAGCCGGGCAGTTGATTTACCCTAAACTACACATGGCAAGTAGAGAGTTGGGTGGCATTTGCTTTTGAAGTTCTTTCACTCCCGACGGACCTTGTTTATGCTCCTTATGGTGATGTGACTATATAACCAGGGCCACGGGAATCCTGTCACCAGATAGGGCAAGGGGCAGGGTGAGCACGGTGCCAAGTTACAGCAGGAACAAGAGAAAATTAGACGTATTAACTTATTTATTCATCAGAGGCCATCAGAGGGAGGCGGCAGCAAGGGCAGGAGCAGTTTGGGGCCGGACGGCACAGCTACGTACTCGCCTTGCGTCATTTAGAAACTCGAGATCAACCCTGGATCCCAGCTGGCGTGGCCTTGGCCCCCTCAGACTGGCGGCACAGTAGGCTTTGTGCTCTCCAGCAAACTCTCGTTATCCTCACGTGTGCGACGGCCTTTTCTTAGTTGCTTCCTTCTGGTGCAGGTCGCCCGTGGCATTGATCAGAATTGTTTTTCTGTATCATGAAAGCCCCAGCTTAGCTCTCCCTTCCTCTGGGGACGCGCCCCCAACCCCACACCGCCGTTCCCATCATGCTTATCACACGCTAGTGTAGCCACGTGAGATCTGGGCGGCGGGGACGTGTTGCCTGTTCATGCCGGATCCCCCTCCCTAACACAGCACCCGACAGTGCTGGGCTTTTCAGTAAGTGCCAGGTCACTACATCGACCCGGAAAGGTTGCAAAAATAAGTCCTGCTGGTCAACTAAGCTGGAGAATTCTATATAGATCACTATTCAAAAACACAGCAGTGTTGGAGATTTACAAAATTGTCAATGGAAAGTTGAAATTTGGGCCTGTCGAGCCTAAAATGAATCCCAGGCATTCGCCAGCCTCCTTTCTGCACCTTCCCCCTTCCTTCCATGTTGGTCCCTCTCGGTCTCCACCCTTTTCCAAGCAACTGTGCTTCTGTTTTTCTCACCATTCTCTCCCTTGCCATGGAGCCCCATCTCCTCTAAAAGCTATTCTAGAAGTTACTCCCACTTTACCCCAGCCCATGGGTGTCACTGCATGTTGAAACGTCGTCGTATCACGGAAAAAGGGATGTTTCCTTTTCTTTGACAGCAGCTCTGAGTGCTGGTGAGCTTGTGGGCAGCATCTCCTTGGGACCCTCCAGTCCTGAGAGAGGCGGGGGAAAGTGGCGTGGAGAGAGAGCGCTTGGGTTAACTCGAAGGCTGACTTAGGATAAAGCATTTTCCTTAACTGATTTGTAAAACAAATCAAGCAGAGAAACAAAGATGAAAACAGGGAACAAAAACAAGCCCTTTATCTTCCCAATATTTTCTTAGCTCCATGTCAGCTGGTTGTCTCTTTTAAACTCAGGGACCTTTCACTTCTCTGTGAGAACACATCCGACTCTGAGCCTCTTCCCAGTGTGCCTGACAGTAGCTGCCACACTGTGTGTTTTATTTAAGAAGCTCTGTTTGGCACCATGCTCTGCAAAGGAGAGGAGCATATGGCCTTGACTGTTAAAAATATTCATGAGTCATGTTGCCCAGTACTGAAGTACAGCCACCTCAAGGGCAACTTTCCAACAGCTCATATTGGTTTACAACATGGAATGAGGACCAGATGAAGTTCCAGGAGGTGTTCAGAGGAGACAGAATGCAGTGACGCAAGTCAGAACTTGGTCAGTATGCTGGGCTGCATGTCCCTTCTGGAACGAGGCACGGGGTGCTGGTAGAATGTCAAAGTGAGGGATCCCACTCCCAGGTTCCATTTATAGGCCCAGGGTTCTGCTAAAACCTTCTATAGAAAGAAATGGAGTAGACGTGCAAGTGAGGGTTACTCCGATCCATTGACTCCCCGAGACTTTCCTCTTCTCTCCATGACCCCTAAGAACTCACCTTGTCTCATGGCGTTTGCTATTCCAGGATACCACCAAGCTCTCACCCCCTGCTCCTGGCAGAAGATTCTTCCAGGGATAAGTGTTTCTGATTTTAAAAAGTCATTGCTTTAAGGGAACTTATGAAGAAGTTTAGATTGTGGATGTTTTGTTATTGGTTTGTATTGAAACATTTCTGTTTCTTTGGAAGTGGTCCTGAGTGTGCTTGGCTTCCTGGGGACATTTTATGTGATTCCTCAAAGTGCTCACTAAGCACAGTTAAAACAACTGGGCCTGGAGGGTAAAAATGTCTCAACTTTCGCATGGCCTGAGAGCAGACAGGTGGGATGTCTGAAATAGTTTCATGGTTTAGAATACAACCGTTTGCCCTTCATTCCTCTTTCTATTGTAAATTAATCATTAGAGGGTTCTCTCTGAAACACTTTTCTTTCTCTCACTGTGTATCCTGTTTCAACCTGCCCCGTGCCGGCAACTGCACCTGACTGTAATTTGGGGAACACAAATTGTAGTGGTTCAGCACTTTGTGACGCCTCTAATAAGTTAATGTCACTCCCATCTCCCGGCACAGTTCAATTCAGAGAGGCTGCAATGTATCATTAATGCATTAAAAAAATGTTGTGTTTTTAGACTGAATACCTGGAATTAGTGGGGAGTCTGATGATCCAAAACAGACTTTTCACAGTGCTTGGGAGCCCTGAGGAAGCAATTCTTGTTTAAGCATCTGCGTTATCAGAGCATCCCAAGTACTTTAAAGGTCCGTGCAGGATGCTCAAAATAGGCACCTTGCCAAACAGAAATTGAAACACATATACGCACTACACTATTTGCCTTACAGAAATTAATTTCCAGCCAGCGGCACCTAGGATTATTTAATATTTATCTTTAGCTGCAGGAAGAAGAATCTATTATATTATGAGTTGATTTTGTTATTTTACCCATATTTCAGTCAGTCTTTCCAGTAGGAGACACTTATGGTCTCTTCTATGACCTGCCTATCACCCTCTTATTAAATTATTATTATTTTTTAAGTAGTCAGAAGCCGTGGGAAGATTCATTTTTAAATCAGTTGATTTCCCCAGTTGGTTCCCTGGGAAGAAACGATCAGGTCCTTTCAGGGATATGAGAATAAGCCCTGGATCCGTTGAATGGCCTCGGTGGTCAGAAGCGTCGCAGAAACAGGTTTGGATGGCAGGTAAAGAAACTGAGTTGGAGGACCTCTCCCCACCTTGGTGACCTGGGAGAGATCCCTTAACTTTCCCAGTGCCTCCTGCCCGTCATCTGTTTCTAATTAGTCTAGAGTCGACAGTCCCCACCGAGCTCTTTCCCCCAGCGATGTGTCATTCTGAAATGCCACCAAGGTCCTACGGTTCCGCCTTCTGTTGCTAAAATTCCAGAGGGCTGTGCACTGTGTTGATTGTTGGCTCCTGTGAAATTAAAGCGCCAAGGAAAGAATGTGTCACTGTGTCGAATAACAAAATGACTGATAGAGTATCGGGGGGACTTGAGTGTATAAAGAGCCACAATATTGCAAAGTACCTTGTAGATGGCAACTGTTAAATATCAATGGAGCATCGCTGCGTCTGCACTGTCAGCACTTCCCTGTGGCCACAGCGAGAGAGACGCTACAATGTCATTTCATGGCCCACATTATGTGCTGCTTACAATGAATATTCTGGCCATGGTTTATTACATTTTTGATAAATTGTAACTTCTTGGACCCAAATTTGGTTAGCTTATCTCTAGTGCCATTTAAATATCTTAAAAGACTGAATCTGCCCCAAAGATTTAATCATCATTCAGCAGCGGCCTGTAACCATGTGGTACTAATTTAAATTACTGTAGCAATGGACAAGTCTCTATCCAGAAATTAATAAATGCAATTTATAAGGAATGTTAAGTAACAACTAACAATTTAATGCTTTGTGAGTTTCAGCCAAACTGATTAAATAATTAAAACAGATTTCTAGGGATAGGGGAAGAGATTTTACCATAAAAGAGATAAACAGTTTGGGAATTGCATGCATTCTTTTAGACATTTAAGATAATTAAATCCAAAACCTATGTTAAAATAACACTAAAGGTCTGGTTTAAATCAGTACTGGGAATTGCTAAGTTAAGAGTTGAACACCATCCGCAATGTCTGCCCCGTTGTTTTAAATAAGGCATTTGGGGGCTCTCGGAGCACTGGGTCAGTTTATAGAGCAAGCTGTTGGTGGAACAATATTGGTCTCAAGCACAAATAGATATATTCAACAGAACTTCCTTCTTACCACGATGTTTTTGGTATTTTACGAAATCTAAACTGAATGTTTAGGATCTTTCAGAGTTGTTGTACAAACCTAAAACTTTCTGCTACATGTTTTTCAAATTCTTATTTGTTAAAAAACAAAAAGGTAAAAGAGTTTACAGATCATAGCTGTTTTGATTTAATATGCAATGAATGTAATATGTACATTTATGAGCTTAAAATAATTCACTTTTGCAACCTATTATTGAGTGCTTGTAGATGTATAGTACAGGGATGTCTTTGTGATACAAAGGTTAATAAGGCCTCAAAGCATTCTGTTTTCTGACGAATCATATTGTAGGCAGCAAAAGCAGATGGGTAGCCCCCTTGATAGAAATGACCATAAGTCACAATAGGATGTATTCCTTTTAAGGATATTTTAAAAAAATGATTTGCACAAATGCCTCAAAAGGTGTCCATCACTCATCCTTTAAATTGTATTTGCAGCCCCGCAACCCCGGTAGAGAAAGACTGACTATCTAACCCTTTGTGCCAGGGCCTCCTTCCTTAACTGCATGAATGCTGGATGGTGGTACCTATGGGACAGTGGAAATGTGGAAGCTGTTTGAACTGACCAGCTGTTTGGGGTTAGGTAGATGCAGATTGAATTGTTCTGCTCAATAGGTTTAAAATTCATCATCTTCCAAACTGAACGTATCATATGTTCCTCAAAGTGTACCTTTCCTTATATGATAGGCAATTACCCCTGTTTGCCTGGGACAGAGAGGTTTCCCAGAATGCAGAGTTTTTGGTGCTAAGACTGGGGATGTCCCGGGCAAACCTGGATGAGTTTATCATACTGCTCTTTAGCCTCTCTTATTTTCTCCATCCTGATTAATTTACTGTCACCTGCTCATTCATGCTGGACTTTCCCATTTCTTTTCCCACATCCAAACTTCCACTGAGTTCCATCAGGTATTTTATTCCTGCCTCTTTCCAGGCTCTGTCATTGCCTTGGCTCAAGCATTGTTATGGATTTGCCCCAACTGTTCATGCCACCGCTAGACTTGTTCTTACCCCCACCTCCCAGTGACTCATCTTCTAATGATATTTAAAATGCCTATTCACTCTGTTTAGCCTTCGCTGTTACTTGTTACATAAAATCCCCATTTATATACGAGCGGGCAAAGAGGCCTTCCATACGCTGGTTCCTGCCAGAATCTCCAGGCTCCCTTCCATCCATACTTCTTCAACTCTATTCTCCAGCCATTTAGATCCGCTTGGAGTTTTGTGGAGGCAGAATACTAGTAATTCACACTTGTACACCTTTGGCTATAATATTTCCTGATTTTGGAATGCCCTTCCCAGCCCCCCTTTAATCTGTTAGACAACTAATTATATTTCAAGACCCAGTCCAAGCACCACATTCCTTTATGAAATCCTTTCTGCTCCAAAATAAAATTGACCACTGCTAATTTTGCACTAGACTGTGCTTTGGATACTTGTTATGTACCTAAAAACACATTACAGTTGTTTATTTGTTGGTTTTCTGTTTTAGATTATGTACTCTTTAATGAAGGGTACCTGATTTATTAATATTTATTTCCAGATTTTGGTATCAGGTCTGACACAAAGCAGATGCTGAAGTGGACGCAGACCCTCTCTCCGCGCATCGTGGGCACTAAGACGGCAGAGCAGCGTGTGTGGTGAGTCTCCAAGGGCCTGGATAATGCCCTTCTCATGTCACCTGCTTGAAACTTGTTGTTTTTACTTGTTCATTACTTTACTGTTGTATCATCTATTTGCTCCTAGAGTAACTTCTAAACATAGATTTTTATGTCTACTTTATGTCATTTTTTCTTATGCTATATTGGTTTCAATTCAGATCTAGCCAGCTGTTGACTGCCTGGCTAATGATCATCTCTCTGCTCCACCCCATACCTTAAAGCTTCCAAAAGAACCCTGCTCATTTCAGAGCCCCCTCTCCTCAGGATCAGGGACTTCTGAAAAGTTTCCTTCTGTTCCCGAGGGGCTGGCTCCTGATTAGCCTAAGGCAATTATAGCGGCCCCATTCCCCATATAGCGGCCCCCTACCTAAAGGTGGCTAGAAGTTTGGGCTTGTGACACAATCCTGGCCAATGAAATGTAAGACAAGTCTGCTGGGAATCTCCTGGAAAGATTCCCTGTTATGACAAAGGTACCTAGGAAGAAACGGTCTCATTATCTGGATGTCGTTCTTTCTATATGTGACACCTAAAACTACTGTGGTCATGTTCTGACATTGAGGGAGGCCAACCTGTTGATGAAGCCAACACTGAGACCAGCATGGCAGAAAAGTAGAAGGAACCTAATTCTTGGTGCCATTGTGGAGACTCTGATCCCGTCCCAGCGAGAGTCCTCAACCTCCTTCCTCTAGACCTGTAATTGTGTTACATGTGGCTGAAAGTCTCACAGCTGACACAGGCAAGGTTAGCATTGTGACCTGAGAAGGACAGGGCCTTTAGTTTAATAGATACCATATGGTGTGTCAAAGGTAAGGATAAAAATGCTTAAAGCATGATTGGAATAAAGGCAGAAGCCAAGATGACCACTGGAGACAATTAAATTCTACCATTTGTTCAATACCTATATTAATGAATCAATCACTGAATGAAGATTCTGTTGGAGGAACTGTACTAAGTGTGTATAAGGAACACAATCTCTAAGCAGTTGCAGCCTTTCTCTATATGAGCTAATGGTCTCATTAGTGAGCTGGGGCAATGACCTAAATGACTATACAATAAAAAAGAAAGTAATAGATATTATAGTAGTGATAAGGATCTAACATTTATTGAACAATTACTATGCACTAGGCACTGTTCTAAGTCTTTCCCAAAGACTTTTATTTGCATCAGTTATATTTTCTCTCTCAAATATTTTCCTCACAGACCACATCGCAGCCTAAAAATACATATATAAGTATACTTATGTAAGTCTCTCTTATTCTAAATTCGAGATAGAGAGAAAGAAAACTACTATCTTTCCTGACAATGCTTTCCTCTCAAGATACCACCTTATTTCCTTTACACACTTACAAAACGTCACCAATTTTATTTTAATTAATAAACTTTATTCTTAGAACATTTTTAAGTTCACAGCAAGACTGAGGGAAAGTACTGAGATTGCCCATATACCCCGTCTCCACACGCACGTAACCTCTCCCATTGACGACATCCCCTACCACAGCGACATGTGGTCAGAACATGGCCCCAGCCTTACATTTGTTGCAATCAACATGCCTGCGCTGACACATCATTATCACCCGAAGTCCATCGTTTACATTAGAACTCACTCTGGTGTTGTACATTCTCAGGGTTTTGACAAACGTAGAAGGACAAGGACCTACCACTGTAGTATTACACAGAACAGGTTCACTGCCCTACAAATCTCCTGTCTCTACCTACTCACCCCTCCCTCCCCCTTCACTGAGTTTTTTTGAAAAATAAATAAATGACCCCTTCTTCTAGGAGCCTTTGAATTTTCACATCATAGTCATCCTTTGATCCACTGCATTTATTTTCATTCCCCTCGTTTTTCTGAAACTACCCTGAAGAAGGTCACCGTTGACCCTGTTGACAACTCAGCGGCCATTCCCCTGCTTGTACCTTCTTCTCTCATCTCCTCAACATCATCATCGTCCATCTATCCAGCTCACCTAGGCCAGAAAGCTCAGGCCCACACCTGATCCTCACCTCTCCCTCTCACTTGTTAATTGTTATTTCCACAATTCCTGTTGCATACATTTCTCCTCAGAGCCATGCAGCTTTTCTTGCCTTGACTTAGGCTCCCATCACTTCTTCTCTGCACTACTGTAAAAACCTCCCAGCTGATTCTCATGCCAACCCACCCCTGCAGTGATGTCAGAGCAACTTTCTCAAACACCATGCTCCTCCGGGGACTCGCTGTTGGAAGTACTGTAATGGTATCTCTTCCCTGCAAAAGAGCCTCTAAACGCCTCAGCGGGGCCTTAAAGGCCTTCACAGTGCTGCAAAGGTGCTGCCTTCCCAGTGCCACCTCCACCCACTCCTGCTCCATGCCTCCTGCCTCCCCCGAAGTGGTCTGTGTGCCAAGCGCGTGCCCTCCCATTGTTCGGCGACTTTTTCTCACTCTTCTCTTTATGGAATGCGCTCTCCCTCGCCCAGGTAACGAACCTGTTCTATGCTGAGGCTTATTGCAAATGTTTCCCGCTTTCCTGTCAATCTTTTCATAGAACTTTTAACATAGCTCCCTCATGAAAACTATTTCGCTATATTGTCATATTTGTCTATGTGCCTGATCCTTTCTCTTACATGTGAGCTTTTGAGACAAGGAACTCTGCTCCATTCTGTCTCATTCATCAATGTTCCTAGCACTTGGTGCCATGTCTGGTACTGACTACGTGTGTGTTGAGTTAAGGCTGTTGTGGTGGCGTGAACAGAGTGTGATGGGAGCTCTGAGAGGGAGCAGTGGGCAGGGTAGTTTTGTTTGTTCATTCATTCATTCAGCAGATATTTACAGAATGCCTCCTGAGGCAGCGCTCTTCTAGGCTCTGGGCGTCACAACGAACAAACAGAAGACGATGTCTTCCTCGTGGAACATAGCATTCTGTCCTGGTGGGAGAAGACAGATACAGTGAGCTTGGCAGAGGACCAGGACCATGAATGAATGAAAAGATAAGGCATACATGTAAGACATAGGGAGTGGTAAGGGCATGGATAAACTAGTCGGTTCATGACCCACCCAAAGGCAGTTATTTAAACTCACATTAAAACATAAGAGCAGCTACACATGACTCGGCCCACTGAACATATTTTGGGGCCCTATTTGGCCAGTTGAGTACCTGTTTATGGTCCTTGTTGCAGAGACATCTTTGTTCTGGATTCTGTTCGTTGAAAAAACTGGGAGAGGCACTAGATCCCTGGACCCTGGCGGAATTTCCTTAGTCTTACTCCAGTCTACCCTGACCACAGCACCTCACTTCATATTATCCTCTTTATCCTGTGCTTGTAGCTTTACGATTCCTCAGCAGCCACAAAGTTGTCCTGAGAAAATGGTCCATTTCTACTCCTCGGAAAAAAATACCCTTGTGCTTGGGAATCAAAGGCTCTGCGATGAAAGTGCAAAGGGTAGAAAAATAGTGCAGTGCTGTCATCCTGGATTCAGAAGTTGGGTGCGTTAAAAATAGATTCTGCAATCATCCTTTTAAGGCGATAGGAGAGGGAAGAGTTATGCCATTAATATGTAGGAATGACTAGATGGCAGAAAAATAAAATCATAATATTTTAAAGTTGAAGAGACACTTAAAGATAATTCTAGATTAACTCTTTCATTTTACAGGCAAGGAAACTCAAGCTCAGGAATTAGTAACTTACCCAAAGTCATGCACCTGAATATATTAAAATAGCATCAGTAGTTAACCATTTACTTCCCTCCCGTGTTAGTAGCCAAGAGTTTTGAAGCAATAGAAATGGATTAAGGGCTCTGATCAGCAGATTGTAGGTGTTTTTACAAATTTCTGCAACCTCTGACAGTGGTAGCCTAAAAATTAAAACAAGAGGCTTGTGGAATTATAAGTTTCGATTGTATTATGTAGATTAGTACTGTTTATCTATTAAATTGTTTATTCATCCAATTTATCTATTAAATCATTCACTCATTGATTCATTCATCACAAATGCTGAACCCTTACTGTTATTTACTTCTGAGCTAAGTGCTGTGGAAGACGCAGTGTAGCAGAATGCCCGCTCCTTCCTCGCTCAAGGAGCTCACGGTCCCACAGAGGAGCCAGATGTGCACGTCTGCTATTCCTAAATAAGGGGGAAGCCCACCTGGACCTGGATGCTGACGGCAGTTTGCTCCACGTCAAGGGAAGAGCTGTATTGAGATGAAGGCCGCCCCCTTCCTAGTCAACCTAACAGTGCCTCCTGTTCACCAAGAACCCTCTGAAGAAGCCTTTCTCCCTCAAGCAAAGATAACCTGCTTAGCAGATATTATGAAGAGGTTTTCTGCTGCTTTTAAAGTTATAACACCGCCAAGTGACATACCCTGTGTTTCTGCCGCACTGCTCCCGGAAGGACCAAAGCTTCTTAGTCATCAGGTGGCAGTCACTGGCTCCCGAGGAGCAGGCATTTCCATTCTTCCGCAAAGCAAAGAAGAATTTGCCGCCTGCTTGAATCAACCGTATGTGTGTTGGTTGGGAGTTGTTACGAGACGTACCCCTGACAAGAGCCTGGGTGCCCAGCCAGCTTCCCTTTATCAGATGGGCCAGTGCCAATCATCATTGTTCTCGCAAGGTGATAGCAGGCGCTGTTCCCCGTGAGGAGACGGTGGCGTTCTGGCAGGGTCACCGTGGTGTTAAGATGCATAGCATTTGTCAGGTTTGCCTAGAACTTCTGGAGGTTTAGTTATGAAACTTGTTAATTGAGCTATAAATATAGCTGCAGCCTTTGCCTTCCAGTAAGGCAGCGTGTTAATTTGGGTTTGGCAGGGGGATGGTGCAAGCTGCCAATGTTATGTTAGGATTAGTAACGTGCAGTACATTTTAACTCCGCTTCCCCATGTGCCACCCTCCCCTCCTCTGTTTGTTATCTTTGTGAGGGAGAGAGAAGAGAAAGCAAGCTCATCATCACGGCGTCTTACGTGAAGGATATTTATCTGTGGGCCTGCTTTGCACCCTGCACGT